TTTACGTCATGCCAACCATCATGGTGTTGTCTGCTGGTGATCTTGTAGTCGCCACCTTTTCAGTAGAGATGTCGGACAGTTCCGACATCTCCTCTCGGTCCAGGGTCCCGGTCGAAGTGGCAAAATCTTGACCTTGTTCTACCGGAGTAGATTCACTCGCCAATCTTCTGTTTCCTCTCCCTTCCGGTCCATGCCCCTCGTGGTTCTCATCCGTGGCAGGGTCCGAATGGACTTCTACCTCTAACCTTGCCTTTTGTCCTTCTGATGACTTTTGATTCCTGGTTTCAACCATTATGCCTGAAAATTTCTTCCCTTTGTCGGTCCGAGTTCGGGTGAGCTTTTCCAAAAAAGGATCACTCATTGCTTTTCTCTGTTTCTCTGGTGTGAACTTCTTAGAGCTATCACCTAGTTTAGGTATCCTTGACTTGTCTCGACTCATTTTCAATTTAACACTTCTTACTGCCTGTACACTCAATTTGATTGCTAGTGTCCTTTTAGTTTGACTACTGATAATAATAACACAGCACAATAAATTCAAAAAGTTTCACTTAAATAGTGACCACGAATCCTTATATGTTATCACAGTACAGCGTGTATACAATTTATTCACAATAATAGATTATCAATTGTTAGATATGAAGCTAGCACAGTCTGATGATAACAATATATTTAAAGAATAGTGTTCTCACTACCCAATCAAGCAAAAATATTATTGAATTAAAACCAAAAATGAAGCAATATAAGAATATTTTCAATGAAAATTCTATGTGTTTTGTACTTTAGTCAGTCGCAATGTGATAGTCGAACTTGTTTCTAAAGAAAGAGCTTTCCCTGTTCGGAGCTGCACCGAACAGTCAAAACATGAAGGCAGTAATTTTCTCACGTGGGCGTCTATTGCACCCACCGAGTCCTGTGTTACCTATCTGCCTTCGGATTGCCCGAGCTAGACCTACTAAAATCCTCAGGGCAATCACTTTCCCAAAAACGATTTGTATTTCAATCCACACAAATCATTTCAGACCCCTCCGGATTGGCAAAAACAGTACCCCTCCGGATTGACAAAAACAGGACCCCTCCGGATTGGCAAAAATAGTACCCCTCCGGATTGGCAAAAACAGTACCCCTCCGGATTGGCAAAATCAGGACCCCTCCGGATTGGCAAATTTGGGACCCCTCCGGATTGGCAAAATTGAAACCCTTCCGGATTGGCAAAATTGAGACCCATCCGGGTTTCTAAAATAGCTTTTCAGAGACTTCCAAAATTTTTACGCGACACCCTTCCGGATGCACTCTCCGATGCTATTATGCTGTTTGTACTAACTGGGAAGGGTGTATTTTTTCCCCTAGACCCTTCCGGATTGAAGCTAAGCTTCTTATTTGACAATTCACCTTAACTGTGAAGGGTCTTATTACTAGCCCAGTTTCGACTCGACTATGGTTTTCTGGTTCCCTTAGCCTTACTTTTTCTTCTAGAACAGCGTGATTTTGCCTTATTCAACCATTGCTACCCTTTGGTAGGGGTGTAAGGGCTTTCCAAAATTTTTTTTTATAAAACGTGAAGGGTCTACCTTCCCGAATTAGTGAATATGCTAAAAACAGATTAAAAAAATGTTTACGCTTACTTTATTAGTTAATTGATAATTTTATGAGTAAGCTCACCTAACTGGCAATCTAATGGTACCAAGATCAACTGGATCTGTCCAGTAGCTCTGAAGTTATTAACAAAAACGTCTTTTTTTTCTAAATTCAAAAAAATTTCTCTCTTATAGAATCCGCCTAAATTATTTTTGCAAATCTGTTGTTTTTGTTCAGAAAAAATTATTGATCCGAGCTCAAAAAGCCTATACTCTTGTAGTTCAATGTTTAAAACGTTCCAATTGAATAAATTTGCCAAAAACAATGCTATTGGGACCCCTCCGGGTTTGTAAAGATGGCTTCCCAGAGGCTTTCTTAATTTCCAACCTATACCCTTCCGGATACGTTATCCGATGCTATTATGCTGTTTGAATCAACTAGGAAGGGTGTGTCGTCCTTTCCTAGAGCCTTCCGGATTGTAGTTGAGCCTCTTATTTGACGAATCACCCTAACGGTGAAGGGTCTTACCGCTAGCCTAATTTCGACTCGACTAAGGTTTTCTGGTGCCCTTATCCTTCCTTTTTTTGTCTATAACAGCGTAAAATTGCCTTATACAACCATTGCTACCCTTTGGTAGGGGTGTAAGGGCTTTCCAAAAAAAGTTTTTATAAAACGTGAAGGGTCTACCTTCCCGAATTAGTGAATATGCTAAAAACAAATTAAAAAAATGTTTACGCTTTCTTTCTTAGTTAATTGATACTTTTATGAGTAAGCTCACCTAATTGCTGATTTAATGGTACCAACATCAACTGGATCTGTCCAGTAGCTCTGAAGTTATTAACAAAAACGTCTTTTTTTCTAAATTCAAAAAAATTTCTCTCTTATAGAATCCGCCTAACTTTTTTTCGCAAATCTGTTGTTTTTGTTCAGAAAAAATTATTTATCCGAGCTCAAAAAGCCTATACTCTTGTAGTTCAATGTTTAAAACGTTCCAATTGAATAAATTTGCCAAAAACAATGCTATTTGGACCCTCCGGATTCATGAATCCACTAAATCAAACACGTTATGTTCGATTTCACAGTAACCCGGAAAGTTATTGGCAAACGGATTTTTAAACCTGTCGATTCACTAATAAATGTTGTCCGAACAACACCATTTTTACTGTCCTAACTCAAAAATTTCAAAGAGTATTTTGATTTTGTAACGTTTCGTTTCTTCAAAAATTAGGAAAATTCGGTTTTTGGTACCCAATTAGTTCCAACCACTTCCGAACTAAACTTAACCCCTTCTACCTGTTGTACTAGTAGAATTACGATGTAACTCACTAATTTGGCGCTTTTTTCCGTTTCAAAAAATATCTTTATCTCAGAAACCGCGATTTGTGGGGGGATCAAAATATTGCTATTTTGACCATAAAAACCGGTCGGCTTAGTGTGTTTTTTACTGAAAAACGGTATAGGAGTAGTAATATAGGCTCTATAAATAATAATACTGGTAATACTATACCCCACCGGGTTCGTTCAATCTCCGAATTTAGGTGCTTATTTCGGAAAATCGCAGTTCGGTGAAGGGTCACTACAGTGCAGTCACTGTCGAGCCCCCCACAGAGTAATATCTTGATTTTTGTACCAAAAGGGATACAAAACTTTTAACGATTCCAAATAGTCGATTGTTTTTGTCCTCGAGCCATCCTTGTCGCTCCTTGAACTGCTTGCCGGTTCAGCCTTTTTCTATAATCCCGAGACCCCTCCGGATTGAGCGTAACTTAGCATTAACGTGCTTAAATACTCAAATAACCCTACAGTACAAGCACCTCAAACGGGCCGCAAAATTGATCCTAACGATCTTGAATGATATAAATGCCTGAATAAATGGGAGGGTCGGATCACATCTCGTCTTGGGGGATAACTTCTAATGATTTTATTTTTTTTTACTGTTTTTGGTTTTTTCGGTTAGTTTTTATGTTTTTTTTCTTAGGTACTATACTACTTTTTATTTGGTTTTTTGTATATCTTTAATTGTTTTTGGTCACGTACCACTTAGGAAATGACGGGGCCGCGAAAACCTCCACCCTTCCTGGCTCGTGAATTTTCGGTCTTAACTAGGTGAAAAAACTATTCACGGGGATCCGGAAGACTTCCGCGTTCCGAATTACCTTTCCGCCCCGGCAGTTAGGGCCTAATTAAGGGCGTTATCGTGAGCATCCGCTCGGCGTGGAGTGCCTCTTGACGGTTCTGCCGGTCATGATGTTAAAAAGAAATAACACCCAGGAGCGCGATAAAAACATCTAATTAACGTTCGCCCGGAAGTACATATCGACGGAAAATAAAACTAGGTATTAAAACGACAGGCTAAACACAGCTCTACATACTTTTCACCGTCTCTGCCAAAGCCAGTTCTTTTGGTGGTTTTCCTCACATCGGGTCGACAAAAACGTTACTGCTTTCGGCTTCGGTCAAAACACTCAAGTTAACTTAATTATAAGCAAGAATAGTGAGCTCATGGCTGGGTCTCAGTATCCCCAGACCACGAGGTCACTCCTAAAAACAGGGCTACTACTATTCATTATATTACTATTGTTTTTGTTCAGTAGATGAAAATCATCATCTCAATCGAAGATGGATCAACCCTTTCCCTCAACTCCTATCTTCTCAATATCTGAAAATGAATCTGGATTTTAAATAAATTCAATTTTGGACATAACCAGGAAGCTAAAAGTTTATATAAAATAGTTTGAGTTCTCCGCCCGAGACCCCACTGGATTCCGGAATCCGGGGAAATATTTAAAATTTCACAATCGTTACAACTCGGAGCGGTCTCTGATAATTCCCAGTTAGAAATAAGATAACAAGGTACCATATAAAAATTGAAGCGCTTTCGTCAAGAAGACATCATCAGCATTAATCTGAAGTAATTAAATTTTGCGATAATTCCCAGTTGTATCTCGTTATTTCTCGTCATTAGTCCTATCGCAATTATTGTTGTTTAGTTTTTCTTCTTGCTTTTTTACAAAAATGGTTGTTTCGCCGTTTCTCAGAAGTGTGACAACATCATTCGATTTTTTAAAAATTAAAAATTCCAGAATCGTCTGAACTTCACGATTCGTCTAATCGTTCAAATAACGTCGCTAATCTGCTAAAATTGTTAATCTTCCAGGTCAGCGGCCACGAATTCGAAACTGCATTTTCGTCCATTCTGGCCGAATGTCACAATGATCGATTATCATTTTATAAAAATTTAAAACCTTTAAACTCGATGATGCTCAAATGCGCGAAAACGTTCGTAATTTTTTAAAATTCCCTCTATCTCGTTATGTAAATTTTGTTAAAAAAATATCCCTAATCAGAATAGAGCCTCTTCTAGAGGGGATTCTGAGATTCAAATGTTTTCCTGACAAAAAAATTCATATTTGAAATTGCCTGTTACTTTGTTTTATAGGCTTAGTTGGAGTAATGTAGGCTTAGTTGCGCTAAGTATATAGGCTTAGTTGCGCGGTGCGTTCCAAAAATCGAACATCTTTCAAGACAGGGGTATGAAATTTTTGTAGTGAGCGAGCGTCCTTCTGGTTTTCTATACGCTAGCTTTTTTCTGGTATCGCAAGTGGTGCTTAGCCTCTGTGTAAGAAAAGGTTTCTGGAATTGCTTTATTTAACAGGGATTACTAATTAAATAGATGTTCATGGAAATTAAGAAAAAGAAATTCTGCTATTAATCTATTTCAGTGCTTAAAATCGATCAGAAATTCTTTGAGGGCAAGGATTTAATCCACACTAGGGCAAACAAAGAAAGGAGGACCTGTTTTCATGAATCGGCGCTTAGCGGTTATGCGATGTCGAAGGAGCACGTAGCGTAGCTGAAGCTATGGTGCATGTCACAAATTTCTAGATGCATGCTTTTCTCTGTGGAAGTATCAATGCAACATAGCAAACAGTCAAGGAACGTAGAATACAGTTGCGAAGAGGAGTCAAAAGAAAACTTTCCGTCTCCGGAGGTGATCATATTGCCATTGTTAGTATTTCCGTTAAAATTGATCGGTATTTTAGCATTAGAGATTCCCAGAGTGAATAAAGCGAAGTCTCCGATATGGTACATCTCACTCACAGAGCGAGGGTATGTCAATATAGCGGATGAATAAGCCTCGGTACAAGCATCCTTAGCTTGGTTTTTGGTTTGATAGAAAACAAGATCCAACAGAAAGAAACACCTCGAATACTTATGGGACATAAACCCATTGAGCCCGTCGCAAACAGCTTTGTCGGCTGAAAAATAACGATTTTTTTACCGATTTTTTTGAACGATCATTGGTTTGACTTTGAATGCTAAGAAAAGTTCATTTGCATTGTTTTCTTACTCTAAATCAAGCGAAGGTCTCTGACGTACTTTTAGCTTAGGAACTACATACAATTTTTATGGTTTTGTTATTTTTGCATGGTTGAAATCATAGAATATCGCTATTGTAAGTGATCTTCCTATCACATTCAAATATCTACCTGCACTTTTAGCTCTTGTCCCAATTAAACAAAAAAGAGTCAGATTTCGAAACACTTGTTTTCGTTGTCAATGTTTGATGAGGAAACCTAGTCCGAAAATGGATGGGTCGAGTATTAATTTAGCTGACAATTACCTGCATCGAAGGTTCCTCGGACAAGCGAGTCGTATCCTAAAATTAGCATCATGAAAAACAAAACCAAATGTTATATTTGGATGTTTCTGACAAAAGTAAGGCAAAAACAGTATACATTTTTTTCAGGTTACTTTAGCAAAGACTGTTGTGCAAAAAAGAACAAGGTTTGAAAAAAAATCAGATTTTGTTTGCGTCCCTTCACAGAGAGTTGTCGTCGGGACAAATGCAAAAAAATTCTGCCTTCGTCAAGTGTTCTTGGTGTCTGATGTGTTTTGATTGGAATATAAATGATTATTCTTTTGACTTACCTGAAGTTAGCAGCATGGCTTCGGTGTTTATTTCTTCGATCTGAGCTGCGGCGCTGAAATCAACAAATATTTTAAATGTGGGTTCAATCAATACGCTAAGTAATTCTGTGGATGTGCATCTCGTAAGTGCAAAAATCTATAGTCGAACGTGTGATTATGCTCCTGATACGTAGTCTATCTTTGAAACCTGTGAATTCCAAATAGTCTAAAATTGTTGACAACCGATCAGAGATCTGTTTTCAAAAACTCGGAAAAAGAAGAGAATGTGATTGCATTGAAATGTGTTTTTTTTAACATGTCATTTAAGCAATTTATTTTTCTGTCATAATTTGTGAGGTGTTGATAGTATTTCTTAGACAATTACCTCTTCATAGATGCCTTGGTAATATCAGTGTGATCCTTCACTATGAACACTTGCATAGCCATAGTGATCCCAAATCCGATGGCGAAGATGATAAAGCACATAATTGTGGTGTGATGCGCCGGAATAGGAGTCAAGTCTGGCTTGAAGTCATCGCCATAGATTCCAAATTGACTCAGGTTCCCGTAAACTGAAGAAAACGACATGTTGAAGTTATGACTATGGTCTCAAATTTGTTATCTGTCAAATTTTTTCAGCTGGCTTGTCTTCTGATGCTGGATGTCGATCAAGACCAGGGTCTTCTGAGATGATTTAAATACGAAAATTTCACAACTCAAGATTCCCAAATGTTAAAATTCTTTTCTCTTAGCATAAATAATTCTCTGTGAATATTCAAACGTTTTAGTATATCATCTTCTAAGGATTTGACGGGACTGTTCTCAATTCGGTGACTTTGTGGGTATTGCGAGTCGAACGTAGCGCAGATTCTTAAAAAGGTCGTGATGATTTTTTTTGGAAAAGTCTTAAAATGCTCTGGCTACAGAATGTGCATACATATATGTTATTACATTTATGAATGTCCTATATGTTTTTTTTAGTTGCATTTAACTTCATGTGCTAAAACTTAAGCAAAAATCGCTCTCCAATTGCGAGAGAAAATGGCGCGAAAAAACGTGATGGGTTTTTGTTTCGAAAGTGGAATTAATTTTAAGGTATCCCAGCGGTGTAAAAACTATAAATTATATTTCAGTTTTCTCAAATTGAGTAAGTTTATAAAAAAGTGCCAATAAAAAAAATGTTTTTTGAATTTTAGAGGGCTTTAAGCCGATATATTATCTTTGAATTTCGAAAGTTGAAATGTTTTCAAAAAACAAGTCAGTTTTTTTCTGACTTCCATTTATCTGTTGGCTATGTTTGACACTATCAAATTAATGCGATATATTACAAAATTACTTCATTAACGCCTTAGTTGCATGTTTTTTTGTCAATTTCTGTATTCAGTTTCATTATATTACCTTAATATAATGCTGTGTTTAACTTACAATCGGTGCTGAGGATGAAGGTTTAGGCTATTATTGTTTGTCATCTGGAAAAAATTGATGCTTGGAGCTAGAAATCGAAAAGATATTTCATGTGATCATTGATTCGAAAATTAGCAAGTTGTCATACTAATTGGGAACCAGACTTTTTTCCCGTAAATAAACTTTCTTACAATTTTTCAACTTTATTATTTAATCTTAACTAATTTTAGCTCCCTTTGCTCTTGGTCTAGGTGTAAAGCTGTCACTTTTACACCCTAAGGTCAGGGATTCAAATACTGGCCGAAGCTTGTTTTTTCAGTATGCATTCAATTGAAAGTTTTTTCCGGTAAAATTGATTTGTCGGACTGTCGTTTATCTGCTCAAAATTTCTCGGCTTAGTTGACAGGTTATGAAATTTTTTTCGAGTTAGGCAAGTATCGGGGTAATTGCAACTGTTTTTCATTGTAGTTTCTGGACTTGAAGCTTTTGAAAAAATTTAATGAAATCAATATTTGTTTTTCGACTCAACTAGTGTCTGCTCAAAAAACTTTTTCATTTTCACTGTCAGAAACTATTCACTGTTTAGTCAAAAAAGGGGGCATTAATGGAAAGACCGCAAACTTCACTGTCTGTCAGTATACTCTCCCAGTCTTTTTTATTCCCACTCTATAACGGCCTTCGAAAAATACTGTGGAGAGAATATTTGATCCATATTTTTTGTTGTTGTTTTCTTTTACCCTCCCAAACCTGAGATTTTGGCGTCAATGAATAGAAAGTCTTCCAAAATTTCCCCTGAAAAAGCGGCTGAGACCAAATTTTTTACACAAATTTAATTTTTAATTTAATTTACTCGATAACTACCGTGCAAATTCTCAGGTTAATTGTTCAGTCAAGAAACCCGATTTCGGGATTTTTCTCTGCTTTAGTGGCCAGGAATTTTTTTTGCAGAAAATGTTAGTGATATTGGAAAGTCACGCTGTTGAATTTTTGACATCTTTTTTTTAGAAACTTTTTGAAAAATTCTCGCTGTCGAAATAACTGGTTGCTAGAATTTTTCCTGCAGAAGCACAGGATCTGCAATTTAAGGATCTCTATTTATGCACTTTCAACAGCTGTTCTAGGACTATTGAAAGGATACTGAGTCTAGGCCTGATAATTTTAATTTAAAAAATTTTCTCTTTCGGCTTGAATAATTTCGACCCAATCTTTGTCGGCTTACAAGCCTAGTGTTTAGTTCTGTTTTTCATTGTTAGATTTTGCTATTGATTTTTCTTCCTTGTCAAGTGTTTAATTGTAGTTAATGGTTTCCTGTTTTTTTTAGACACGCCAAAATTTTTCGTTAGAAAAGAAACTTTCTGCAAGAACTTAGCATAAACAGTGTTTCAGGAAGCATTGCTTCTGATATGTAATTTTTTTGTTCTACAATTACTTGTAATTAGTTTTCGCATTAATTGGTTTTGTTAGTTTGTGTTATATGTTAGACAGTTTGTGTTATCACGTGAAATCGATTATTTTCATGGCAAAGTTTTTTCGAAAAAGTTCGAAATTTTTCAGAAATTTTATTGACTGATTTTGATTGCAATTTTGATTTAACTGTTTTCGTCAACGAAAGAATGTGTCGCGTGTTGCTCATAATTTTTATATTTTTTTTGCGGCAATTACTTGAGACGTTTGCCTTGATTTTTTTTCTGATCTTACTTTATAGCAAATAACGGATAGGGCCCCTTCTTATCCACAATTATTCCTGTAGGATACGCAGATTGTCTGGTTGCAAGCATTTAAGCCAAATTTCAGAGTAGCTAGGAGTTTTTTGATCTATTTTTTCTTATCATTTCCATCCGTTGGTTATGAGAGAGAAATAAACAAAATCATATAATCCAAATCTTTTTTATGTTTTGGGTAATTGTTTTCTATAACTTTTGCACAAAGTTTTTTCTTGATTTTTCGCTGATGATTTTCTCAACAGAATTCAGTCATTGTTTTCAAATTTTGTCTGAGACCTTATCTTTTGGTCTTAAGCGTCTTATTTTGTATGGCAAGTAGCGCGAAGCTCAGCTTCGCCTCTGAGTTAAAACTGGCGAGAGTATGTGTTTTTAAATCGGAAATTAGACTTTTTCCAGATTTTACCATTCTGAAAGAAATCGAGCTTGATTTTTTTTCACTTGCTATAGCAAGTGTACTCGTACAGTGCTGATTCAAATTAACCGGACAAAACATTTTTAACTTAATTTTAAAACTCCTTTGGTTTTTTCAAATTGGGTTGAGTTCAGGTGAAAACTTATGAAGACAACACTTGCTTAAAATGTTAGCAGAATAAATATGGTGTAATTTGTTGCAATCCGAAATTCGGGCCTAAAATTTTACCCCAAAATGATTCATTTTGGCTTTTCTTACTTAATCAAAAAATACCCAGTCGATCTCAGACATAATTCTATCAAAACGAGCCCCTTACGTAGCCCAACAAAATTTAAGAAGTGTATATTCTCCAAAACATTGTATAAGTTAATTTATTTTAGTTTGATAGACAAAGAAGGTCGTTTTTACTAAAGTCGTATTTTTTTTGGAGAATATGTTTGATAGAATTATGTCTGTGATCGACTGGGTATTTTTGGCGTAATTTTTATTAACTAAGAAAAGCCAAAATGACCCATTTTGGGGTAAAATTTTGGGCCCGAACTTCCACATAGCAAGCAACAAATTACACCATATTAATTCTGCTAATATTTTAAGCAAGTTTTTTCTTCATAAGTTTTTCACCTAAACTCAGCCCAATTTAAGAAAAACATGTTTGAAATTTCAAATTTTGTTCGTTTTGTCCGGTAAATTTAAATCAGCACTATTTATTGGGAACATATTTTTTCTTACAAATCTGTTACAAATTCAACTCGCTTATTATGAAACCTCATTAAGTTTTAGGCTGCTTTCTAATTCTTCTCATGGTAAAGCACGTGTATCAGGATCCGAAGGTTTCTGGCTCGAGTCCTGGTCGACCTCGAATTTTTTTCGATATGCATGGAATTTGAACTTTTTTCTGCGAAAACTTGAATTGTCGAGCTATCGTTTGTCTAATAAGTTTTAGTCAGTGTAATTTTGAAAGCATATATTTTCTTCTGGTTTGAGCACTTTCGTTTTAATTTAAACTCGTTTTCTAAGCTTACCAGATCTGCTTTTGTATTACTTCCTTGTTTTTATTTTCGCTGAATGTTTGCGGTATATGTTACAGCGACCAAGTCACCTTATATTGTGTCGCTTAAGTCATCTTGAAACGAAAATTACTCTATTATGCTTTTGTGTTTGGAAATGGTTGGGACATAGAAAATATGATTTCAAAACTTAAGTGCTCGGTTTTTGTATGTTTTTGCTCAATAGGGGTCGACACAAGCAATGTCGCCACTGGTTAAATGATTCTGACTGCTTTTTAATGCTAGTGATTGTATTTGTCGTCTTGTTTTCCTTTTGTTTAACGTCATTCGATACAAGCAAATGAAATTTTTGTAGTTGTAGCTTTGACTTTTTCTGCGATGCTTTTTCGTTTTACTGGCTTCTGTCTCTGTTTCTACGCTCTGCCCTGTAATGCTGTATTTGTGTTGTGTCGCAAAGAATGTGATTACCCGCTTTTTCTTTGTTTGAAACTAATTTGTCACCCCATCGATTCAATCCAGTGAATATCACATGCATGAAAATTGTAATCGGCCTGTTATTGAAAGTTCTGTTCACCATCAATTTTGAACTGCACCAGTTGAATGTGTGATTATATTCTATTTAATGTTATTTTTATAATCTTTGATGAAAAGATGTCTGCCGGCAGTTATGAAAAAAAAAATAATTTTGCCTTGGAGTCTATGGGAAGTACGAACGAAGTACCCACGTTATGTATGAACGAAATGGCCCAAAAACTGTACAATCTTTGCAAGAGGTGTCATCGAGAGTCGAATCAATTCACATTTTCCATTATCCGCTGATTCAATACCAGATTATTTTTCAACAGGATTTTCCTTTTTTTCGGCCTCTGCGTTTTCGACTCTCTCAAGCATTGATAAGTTACTGGTGTTCGGACAACCTATGATTTCAAAATGGCCAGAATTTTAGAAATGAGGCTCATTTTCTTAACTTAGCTATTAAAATTTAAGTATTATTAAGTTGCGGGTAATGGGAAGAAGCGCTACTTGACGAACTTACCTTTCGCGTTGATTTCTTCAGCTTCATGTTCGTGGTTCTGACTGACATCATCACTGGGCGATCCCCCCTCCACATCCATCGTTCCTCCCTTCTTCCCATCAATGTCTAAATTGGTAGTCTGCACTCCATCCTTCTTGCTCTCCTTTTGGTTCTCTTTTTCAGCGGACTCTAAATGCACCAAATCTACAAGTAAGTCAAAGGTCTCGGTTTTGAGTCCGGCCAGGAATAAAAAAAATCTCTGATTGCAAAATATTTACTATCTTTCACACATGATTTCATGGCTTTTGTTTTCAGTTTGTCGAATGAGCTTTATGGTTTCAAAGGTTAATAGAGAAAAGATTGATCGTGGGTGGTCTGGTAACTTGAAATTTAAAAAAAAAAAATAAGAAAATGCGCTACGGTTTTTCAAATAGTCATTTTACATTTTATGCTCGCGATTAGCATGCGTTATGAAATCGGAACTGAAGTCTTTTTTTTTCCAGCTTAACCAACTTGTTTAATAGAATCACTGAATCATTTGATGGCTTGATGTATGTTAAGTTCAAATACATTTCTGGTACTACATTGGTCCGAATTCGAATCAGGCCAGAACCTGTTCATTTTGCAATCTGAAAATTCGTCTTGTCGTCCTAGTCGCAACATCAATTTTCTAAGCAGTTTTCTATCTAATTTGAAATCCGTCTGATGTATGCATGCAATGGTGCTGCTAATTGAGTTCAAGAAAATTCTTTTCTTTTTTGCACTTGCCATAATCAAATCGTTTGAAATCATAATCTTATCTGATTTTTCGTTATTTTAACGAAGTATTCTTTCGTCTGGTTTGAGTTTGTCAAATGTGCTTTTATTGATCATTGGTGTGTAAGAAAATGGCTGGGTCGTGCCTCAATCTTATAATACTTTCTAAAATTTTGAAGTTAGCTTTTTAAGCCTTTAGATCAGTGGCATATATTTTTGAATCATAAGTGGTGTGACGCTCTGCTTCATCCCTGAGTAATTTTTGAAAAAAACTAGAAACTTTTTCTGCGAGGGCGGAAACAGGTTTTTGTTGGTTTGTAGCACACTGGCATAAGTCCAATTTTCTTTAAATGTAATAAACATTTTGAAGATACTTCTACATCCAGTATGGTTGAAACTAGGATGTTACAAGAAAAAGTGATAAAATATAACCATACTTACTTGCACCCATCGTAATTACTGAATTTCTCGGTGTTTGCTGAAAGTATTTTTAGATTTTTCAATCTGCTAAAAAACATGAAAGGGCAGCCGAAGGCAAATTGAGCAATAACTTATCTAATTTGTTTATAATTGGGCACCAGCGAATCTCTTTATTTTAGTTTCGATTTTGTAATTATACAGAATAAAAAACTCACTTGAAGCTTCTAATTGAATGCGTTTGAGCTGTTTTATGAAAGGTTGTAGGTTGCTAACTAGATACTTTTTATCATTTGATTTAAATTGTCTATTGACTGAACCGCAACACAGCTTCCTGTTTGACTAAAAAAATTTTCAGGTAACTATGGCTACCGACAAAGAACTTTGTGATGGTTATGGAAAAAACCACACAAATGCCGACGGCACTTATTTCAACCCGTGGAGCAGAGAAGCGAAAAATCTAGGATTCAATTTCAAATCAACGTCTTTTAAATTAGTCAAGTTCTTAGCTATGAGGCGAGTAATTGATGATTCTGTTCCCGATCTAAGCCAAGAATCACTGGATGAACATTTTCCTGTGATTCCTTTTGACGGTGAAAGTGAAGAAAATTCCCGTGCTCCAGATGAAGGAATGCGGTGCACGTGGTTCGGCCATGCTACCTGTTTGGTACAGTTTGATAACATATCGGTTTTGACAGATCCCGTTTTCAGTGACCGATGCGCGCCTGTCCAACTACCAGGGTTACCGAAACGTCTCAGAAAAGTGCCTTGCTATGTCGAAAAGTTACCCAAAATCGACATCGTAGTTATAAGTCATAACCATTATGATCATCTGGATTTGAACACTGTGAAGGATCTGAATAAAAGTCAAGGATCAGGCGTGAACTGGTTTGTGGGATTAGGGCTGAAAAAATGGTTCACAGATTTAGGGGTCGAAAATGTTCATGAACTTGACTGGTGGGATGAACATAAACTGAGAGATGGAGTCACAGTTGTGTTCACACCTACCCAACATTGGTCCAAGCGAACTCCATTCGATACGAATAAATCCCTATGGGGCAGTTGGATAGTGAAGGGCCCCCGCTTCAAGTTCATGCACTTAGGGGATACAGGATACTGTCAGACATTCAAAACAATTGGTGGGTGAAGCTGCTCAATGTATCTTATATTGTTTCAGTAATTAAATCAGAATTAAAAATTGAAATGAAGTCACAGAAAGTAACCAAACGTCCATTGTGGGACTGTATAAGGCGAAAACTGTATTACGTGAAAAAAGTGTTAATAGTTGTCGAAACTTTGATAAAAGTGTATATTAATACTAAAGTACACGTTTTATTATCGAAATTTTCGCCTAATTTTGTTCTTTCATTTTCACGCCCCGTCCATTGTCACTGTTGTTTATTGGCAGTTTAGCTTCTGTATCTTAATCAACAGTCGTTTTCAAATATGAATAGTTTCGCACCGCTTAAAAAGGCTAAAAAATTACCGATTATTGATATTTTCACGCAGCTCAATTTTTCGTCTCATATTTGTTTTTGTTTAGAGTATAGATGCTACGGAAAACGCGTGCGTTTTCAAACATAAAGATAAGAATGTGGAAAGTAAGAGCTTTGTTTCTGATGAACTTCATTTCAGGAGATGTGCACGGACCAATAGACCTGGCAGCTGTGCCCATTGGAGCTTACCATCCTAGAGATTTCCTCAAGGCTCAACACGTGGACCCTGTTGAAGCAGTGCAGATTCACCAGGACATTAAAGCTAAGAAAAGTGTCGGAATTCACTGGGGCACCTTCGAATTGGGTAGGGAGGCTTTTCTGGGACCCAGACGGGAACTCGAGGCTGAATTGCAAAAGAAAAATTTATCGGACAAAGATTTTTTCACGACAGTTATTGGCGAATCTGTTCATCTTTTCCTGTGAAAAACAATCAGTTACAGAATGATTGTTTTCACATCTTCATTCTAGACTCACTTCTGCAGAAATATATTGATTGTAATTAAAATATGAACTGTGAAGTGTATATAGTAAGGCAAATTGTTTCGTGAATCTTGCTTCAATTTTTATAGCAATTGTTTCTACTTTCTGTTTTATTGGTGCTGCTTCATTGTTTAAAACGCTGATTTCAAATATGAAAAATATTTTTTAATTCGTTGGATAGTTTTGCGAAATGTGAGAAATGTAAATAGGAAGTTATTGTTCCGACCATTGAAAATGGGGAGGAACATTGTATTGTATTCGGGTGTTTTTTTTTCTTGTGTTTTCCACGCAAATTCAGCTACCACAATTAATTGTCGGACAGGGTTGAGTGATTTATCATATTAAAGCTCTTTTAGTCGTGATTCGAACCACGTTAAAAGGTTTCCAAAAAGTTTTCCCAGTGTTAAGAAAAACCGGTTTGAAATTTTTGATTTTTTGTCTCAATTCGAGCGAGTGAGCAGGCTTACATTAGCTTATTTATGCTTAATTTAAGCCTTGAAAATTTAGTTATACTCTAATGGAGTTAGTTTTTGGAGTTTTTAGCTTCATCATAGGAATCAAAAATTGACAAATCATTTAGAAAAAAATATATTGTTTTATTTATTTGGTTTTTCTTGTTATTTGTCTTCAAATTTTTTTCCCAATATGCATATTTCACATATTTGTCGAAAATGGCTAAGCTCTTTTTTTTGCTCAGATTCATTTAGCACACCAAGCCGAAAAAATGACACTAATTGGAAAATTATTTTTATAATTTTTTTAAGACCTGGTCGGAACATTCTATGCTTCTTGCACAGTAACCGGTTATCCTTGTTATGATTAGCTTTCAATCTTATGTTCATAGCAGTCTACTTGTCTAGCTAGTAAATTTTGAAAGCAGTACTCATGGCAATAGTACACCTGCTTTATGAGCACATTTTTTGACTGACTCATTACAAACATAAGAAAACTTGAAATCTGATAACCATTGAGCCCCAAACATCAGAGGAAGAAATTTAGTACCGTTTTGATCTGGGATATACCAGGAAGTACTCGAGGTTTTTATTTCTTTTTGTGAGATATGCAACTTAAGATCATATTTTCTTGCGCGGATTTGTTAATTAGAGCTTTCAAAAAGAGTTTTTTTATTCGTGTTGCGTTACTTTTATCTCCAGTATATGTGATATTTTTTTTCAAGAAAAGTTTTTGCGTGTTCACGCTCAAATTTGATTTTTGCAGTTTGACTTTAAATTTATTTTTCAGTTCTGTTCATTTCTTTTGTCGAAACGAAGGCGAACTCCACTATCGAAGAGCAAGAGCGTCAAGGTCACATAAAACGTAACCGATTTGTAGTTTTGTAACTGGATTTAAATTTTCTGATTTGCCAGCGGAAAAAAGTACCGATTTTTATATTTTGCTCAAATTGGGTTAATTTCTATGGAGAATGTGTCAACTATTAATTGTTCCTGAAGTTTAAAGAGCTTTAAGGCCATACCTTTTTTCATTGAAAATCACAAACTGTTTTTTTTCAAGAAACTTGTCAATAGTTTTTTCCTGTTTCCTTGCGTGCATTGACTATTTTCCAACTGTCTGTTGGCCATTTTTGCCCTTAGAAACTTACGGACACTATTGAAAAATTAGTTCAATGTTAAACACGCATGTCTAGAAATAAGATCACAAAGCCAAGTTGCATAAATTAGTTGGTGTAGATGTAAAGCTCCAAACTTGGCCGATATTTAAAATATGATTCAATTCACAGCAGGATTTTTTCTCAACGTATTTGTTTAAAAAATTCCGGCTTGCTGGTTGTCGCTTGCTTCTGAATCGATTTGTTTGCGTTTTATGATTGTCCTTCAAATGCTTTGGTTGTTGTTGTAGTTGAGGCGAGGGGCAGCTTATAAAATTTTGCCTTGTTGTTCTGATGTTGTTTTAGATGTTTGTAAGTTTAGTCCGGAATGATTGACGTGTTATTACAGTACTCCTTTGATGGTTGATTGCTTAGCTATATTTGTTTGAATTCTTTCATTGGAAGCTTGTTCGGTTCGTCGTCTAGTCCAAATCTCACAGCGCGGCCCCGCTTGGCTGCCCCTGGGTAAAAAGGGGCCCAATTCCAGTTACTGTGACGTGTCTAGCTGTTCTGGTTGACAAATCTGCGAATTACCAGACAGAGGAAAGGTGATGGTTCCATAGCTGAAGCTATGGTTGAGCATGGAATCGATACTGGTAATCACGTGCGGGCTGGACTGATGTGCTTGAGGGCTGGTCCAAACCAAAAAAGGAGGTTGTTGGTATCATGTGGGGTGTTAGAGCACTTTGGGGACAAAGGGGTTTGTTGAGGTAGGAATCAAGTAGAAAAGAGAAGCTGACGAGTAGATGGGCTAGGACGGAACTGGGTTTTCGACTGAGTACGAGTACTTTTTTTGGAGATGGAAAATGTTCATGTGTCAAGTGTGTCAATGGAAACCGTTTTTGTGAACAATTGTCGGTAGGGTCGACCAAGTCAATGAGGAGGCACGCATTGTAGATTTTGATCAAATTTAATTTGTCCGAGAGGTTGATAATCTCGAGTATTGGTCTTTCGGGGTGATTTAGGTGGCAATTGGGAAGAGGTGTATTTTGTGTTTGTTTTGAACAGTTACAGTGAGGAGGGCAAAGTTATGTACAGTTTGTAGTCTTTTTGATGGAGTTAGTGCTTGCTGGGGAAGCGTGCTCTAGGACAACTCTTATCAAAGCTGCATGCGTAATTTGAAGCGTTTCATTCCTTGGCCCCAGTTAATGCCGGCTAAGGTTTTTAGAACTGAGCTACGTTTCTTGGTTTCATCAACTTATTCACTAGAGTTTAGTAGGAAGCAAAGTGCTGTGGGCATAGTTTCATGCAAAGAGATTCCAGGTGACAGGGTTTGTTTCGAAGTGGGTGAACATTTCGTTCTTACGAGTTGAAAGGGATATAAGTAGAACTCGTTATTTCGTCTGTTATCAATAATTCTTTATCGTCTTCGGAATCTTTGGATTCCCAGAGGGGGGTGTTATATTTGATGTCACCGAGTGATAGTCTTTCCGAGTCATTTAATGGATGGATTATAGGTTTTAGGAAGTCATGGGTGCACGAGGATAACGGAGGCTTGTAAAAATTCATTGACCAAGGTTTTAAGATTTGTAGTGATGATATTTTTGGTCTCGAATTCTAGTGACGTGGCTACAGTCAATGTTATGAGAGTTTTGTTGTTACAGTTGAGCTGGGTTTCCTGCAGAGCAGCAATGTGGATCTTATTTGTCTCTAGGTAGACGCAAGCTCGTGGCTTTACCACTGATGCGGCTGCATTTTTTGCAATAAGCGGAGACCGTGTGACAAGTGTTGATGGACGATGGAGAATCGTGGCCAGTTTCTGTTTTTTTAGTGGGGTATTAGATGTGGCGATTTTAAGTTGAGGAATGCAGAAAATTGAATTTCTTGAGGGAGGGATGGTGGTATATAATTGTTTTTGGAACGCGGTTTGGTTGATTTGTAGTTCCGGAGTTTAGACGGAAGATTATGTGTACAGGCGAGGGTGAGTTTGTTGAAAATGGTCTAGTAAAATTGGATGAATGATTAGATGCCGACTCGATGAGTGGTGTTGCATAAAGAAAGGTGCGTAAGCGTTTTTAAGTAGTAATTTCTAGCTGTTTGGGTAGGAATGTGTGGAGTTGTTTGGTTGTGTTCAGGTCCCCATTAGATCCAGCCGCTGGAGTGACCTAATTTGCTAAAACGAGAACGAAAAATCAGAGATTTGCATGGTTCGCATTTGCAATCACTGCGTCTTGAGTTTGATTAGATTCCTGAAATTGGTAACAGTAATATGAGATATGTGCAGGCCGGTCCTGATCATCCCCTGGCCAAAAAATACTTGTTTTTTGTTTGCGTTGCCACTCTTGAGGGGGATTGAAGGCATTTGCAAACTTGCGATTGCCAGATTTTTTATTTGGAAGCACCTTCTCTGGAACCAAGTGCAAAAACGGAAAAGTCTAGTGTTATGTTCAACATAGATTTCGCAAGTTTTGGACATTTGGAACTTTTGAACTGCAGCTTGTGATGTTTTTCAAATTGCCAGTTTTGTTTGTAATCAATCAATAACTCATAGTCGACAAAGGTCTGGCAGAATATTCAAAATGAAACGTAGTGCTTTCTGATGGAATATTTGAGTTAGCTGAGATTTAGATTAACTTAGTGTTTTTTGTTTTTGTTCAATGGAAAACAGGTAGAACAATTGTCAGATGGGTTAGAGTGATGTATCGTATTAAGTCCTTTCAGTCTTGATTTAATGACTTCAATAATTTGTTTTCGGTAAAAAGAAAAAAAATGAAAAAAGATGATAGAATTTTAGAAAATGAATAAAAAATTTTTACAGATATGAATTTTTTTATGAAAAGCAGTTCTCACAGATTTTCAAGGAAATCTTTTTGTCTATGTTTTACTAAGTCTCATCACCAACCTCCATTAATAAAACAAACGATTAAAAGCTGATATCATTGAAATGCAAATATGAGTCGTGTTTCTGTTGTAGTTGCCTCGTTGAGTGGCGGCACTGGATTTGCATCTTTCGGTAAAGTATCGTTTAAGAAGCTGGTCCGGAATTGTTGACGCGTTGGTGCAGCTTTTCTTAGTACAGAAATTCGTTTGCTTGGTTGTCCAGTTGAGAGGAATGTTCATCCGTATTTGAAGAGGAGAGGAAGGTTGATCGTTGCTTTGTCCCGTCCAAGGCTCAAATTGCAGTCTACGTCGAGTAGCATCTTAGTGAAAGGTACGATTTGACTATTTGAGGTGTTCTTTGGTTCTTTTTGCGCCGTCCATTTCGCTGAATCACGAAGCCGTCAAACAAGTAAAAGGTATGACGGTGATGTGTGCTCACGCCAATTCCGTATCTGCGGAACATTTGCCAAAGAGACGAATATCGTTTCACTGACCATCACGGACATTAAAAGAGGTGATTATCATAGTGTAAGTTTTTACATCTCTGGGCATGCATTGGATACACTCGGGTGATGGTTACTGAAGAGTTTTTTAAATGTAAGTAGCCAGGGAGTAGTTGGAAGAGGCTGGAACGAGCTTTTTTTTATTGAGTGAGAGCTCAGTTGGGAAGATAAGAGTTTTTTTGGGGTATGGGCGCAGTTTCAATGTAATTGGAACCCCCTCGTGATGGGAGTATTTTCTTGATTTGGGGCTGAATTCTCTTCTTGTTGTGCTTATTGGGGTCGATAAGATATTCAGACGGGCTGCGTTATGGCTTTATCGCTAGTTTCGTTTGTCTGGGAGGCTCTGTTGTTTCTAGTGTTGCTATTACAATTAGTTTGGTTAAAAATGCGGGAGTATTTTGGTAGATTCTTTTGCTTGACTACGGTAAAAACGTGGTATTTATATTATATAAGTGATTTATTTGAGTCATTTAGTGCTTTCAGTTACTTTTCAGACGGCGGTATTTTGTTTTGCTTCTAATCTTTAGATTGAAGAGGAAGTGGTTGAGTATGACCACGCTTGGGTGGCGATCTCGAAGATAAGTTTGGTCATTTGGGTAATAAGGAATGTTTCCCTACTTTGGCCCCAGATAGTGACGGCATGGGGGGCTTTTAGCTAGAGCTTTGCTGCTTTCTTCAATTGCGTGGACTTTTCAGTGTTTAAAATAGCTACGGAGTGTTTGTAATTTTAGTCCTAGACTTAGGTTGTGTTTCAGAGATGAAATTATGTTGTCTGTATTTTGACGTTGTGTGTAGTTATTTGCGTCAAGGGAGAAAAGTGCTGCTAGCTCTTTGATGAAGAGCATTCTAAGTTAAATCTATATATATAAGTAGTAATAGAACAGGGTGGGAGATATAACTCTGCCTTATGGAACTCCACTGTAGGCTAAATAAGGTTTTCGCCTGTCTACCACTCTGGTAGTTTTTAAACCAGCATAAAAAAACGGCATGTAGTTCTTAAGCAGGGGCACAACAGCGGTTCGCCGTGATAAGCTGTACAGCTCGTATGTTGGTCCTATCCCTCGTGGTCCTATCCCTCGTGCGGTTGCTCACAATGCTGCGTTGTCTAGAAAGCTTAAGACTTTGTGCAGAGCAGAAGCCATTCTTGAGCAGTTTTGGTTCTGAATGTTTTTGACGAGGAGTTTAATAGTTCTTCAACATTTACGATATCGGGGCCAAGTAGAGAGACCAGGTGATGATTTAGAGCGGATAGGATTTTTGGGGCTTTTAAAGGGGAAGTAGGGCAGCCGTTTTCCAAATAGATTAGATCTGCGATCGACTCAGGTGAATCATTTTCATTTGGTACGTGGGGGCAGTTTGGTTCGGATGTGCTCTAAAATGAATTTGAGCTCTAAATGAGTTCATTGTTACCGATGGATAATTTTCTTAATATAAAGCTGGGGTACATCGGGTAAGGGAAGTGTAGCAATGCGGGTGATTTCTCTATCTTCAGAAGCGTTTGAAATTGACTAGGGTGTGGTCAAGGACTTGGAACGGATTGTGTGTTGTGATTGGATTCTTTGGGCCGTGATCCGTTCAAGTTGCGAATTAGTCGCCAGTTTTCACTTTCTTGAATGTGTGACCACTGGAAGACGCTAACTCTAGACAGGTTTACTTGTTCTCTCTGGGTTTTTGGTAAGTTTTGCGTTGAGAGCACTAACATGTCACATGTTCTTAACTATTTGACCTCTGGCGAGTATTTGGCCCGTGGAGAGTATCTCATTTACTTGGACAGCAAAGTTAGTCTTCCTGTTCTTAAGGTCTGAAGGTTTTGCTATTAGCGAGGTACTATGGAGATATCTATTGGTAGATCGAACGAGCTTAGGGTGCTTAGTGGCGCCCAATAGAAGTATTTGGCGAACGTTTGCGGAGGCGACGGAGATGTCAGGTGATGTAGTTTATTGGAATGTGGGTATGCGTGTTTGATCGTCCGTGTTGAATAGGATGTAAGTATAAGTATCGGATTTCCAGAGGCAATATTGAACGTCCATGTCGCCAATTATTTGGCTTTTAGTTTGTGTTTTATTGGTTATCAGAAATTTTGGTGGTACAATGAACGCCGAGAAATGTATCATAATTTCATTTAGATTTTCGGCCAGTTAGACGTGATTGCACTATGAAAGCAATCGTCGAAATAAGTAATAAATACGCTGTTTTCTACTTTCTACGTAACCGACAAACATGAACTGAAGTATTTCATTTTTGTCGACTCCGATTATACTGCCACTCCGCGAATAATGAAATGATATTTCAGGTTGTATGCTTATGCTTATTCAAACAAACGATTAGACGAATCTAATTAAATGAAGTTAATGAGTCGACAGGTTTTTTCTGGAGGATCAGGAGAGCAGAAAGATGATGAAAGAGAGTATTCGATTTCAATGGTTTCACAAAGGCGGAGGACTATGGCCCCCATAGAAAACAATTATCTTGACCGCAAGAGGGCTCGAAAATCACAGAAGTTCGAAACATTTCTCAAGTCCGTAAGTATTTATGTGACATCACTTCATGATGTCATTTATTCTAATTAATCATTTGAACCGAATAGATTACATAATTCACCTAGATGATAAAATAGAGCTGCATCATATATTTATTTAACTATGTAAACATTGATGGTAATAAATACCAATCATTGGAATCTTTTATCGAGCTAGAAATCAATTGGAGACAAATCAACTGAATAAAATATTCTAACCATGCTCTTACTTTCGCCGATCGGCTTGCGAGATATCAGAAGCTAGGAATCGGAACCAGCATCCTTTAAAGCAAGATAGGTCTTAACCGCTCGAGACATATCTAAAATAATGAATCCAATCTAAGTACAATTGATAGCCAGTAGCGCTAAATAAAATTACCAATTGAACAGCTCGCATTACACTAAACGACAATATATCCGTATTATCCATCCGCCGGATACGGTATATTATATGGTGACTTTCGCGGGAATTTCTACTTCTGGATACAAAACAGACATCGGCAATTCCAAACATCATAATTCGAGCAGAAAGTGACAACAACTTTGCTGACGCAGAACAGCGAAAAACAGCTTGATCAGCACAGCAATGCTCAGATGTTGGCGGCAGAGCAACATTTATTAAACAACTAACAGATAAAGAAAGGAAAAGAAGACACTCAAAACTTTTCAACATCTCTGGGTTGACAACTTCCTCAATCTACAGAAGCAGATATGTGGATTGTGTCCTACAACTTCTCTACTTTTGGCTCCAGTCAGATGGTATGTCAAGTGAGCTCCTGACAAGGCAGAACAGAAAGTAGATGAAAGGTTTTCAACGCCAAAACAGTTAGTAAAACAGATAAACTCAAAACCCACAATTGCAGTAAATTGATATTGTAACTAATAAGTTCCCCAACCACAAAAAAGTGAAGTAACAGAAATATTAGCAAACCTGATGGCAATAATAACCAAAAACAGAATAGCAAAAGCTGCATAAAGTATAAATAATCCAAAATTGCGAAAGTCTAGCAAAATTTTCTTGTGTTCCCCTTAAATCGACTAAGTGCTGTGCTTTGTCATCAACTGTTTCATAAACTTGATATTCTTTCAACTGTAATAAGATGGCACACGCGAAAATTTTGGTCGAACCTTACGGAGGAACAGAAACCGATGACTTTCAGCAGTTTGAGCAATTGTTCCGAGGATAAATCGGAGTAGCGGGAATCGACCCTGGCCAACAAGCGAACTTCTTACAACTACATCTACGAGAAGCGGCACTACGGTTTTACCAGACGCTGCCAGCAGCAATCAGAGCGAACGTGGAGAACAGCCTCACCGCTCTAAGGGATCACTTTTGCAATCCGCAGCTCCAGGAAGTCCACGTACTGAAGTTAGAACAGCTCCGGTACGACTCCAAAACCGATTCACCCGAGAACTTCTTGGTGAACTTGACGAATAAAGCGCAACGAGCGTATCCAACGCCAGATTTGCCAGCTGTCGACCCAATCGATGTTGCATTAAACGGAGCACCATTAGTAGCAGACACGGCGAGATTTCATCGAGAAACTGCACAAAGACAAGAAAGAATAGATGCAGTAAATGATAATCGTAATGAACAAATTAGACGATTGTTCATAAAAGGAATGCCAAACTGGCTGCGATCAAAATTCATGGAGCAACCACAAGCAACTACTGTCCAAGAATTGTGTAATTTGACAAAGAAGCAAATCATGATTCGAGAAGTATGCCGAAAAGAAGATTACCCGGAAGACGGATTTAATGAAGTAAATGACAGAGTCTCAGAAAATTTAATCAGTGCTCTCACAAAATCGTCCACAAATCAGGAACAAATTGAGAAGCAGATCAACGAGATGAGATCACAAATAGCTGAGCAGTCAAAGAAACAATCGAATCCGCCTTTTCAACAAAACAAGAACAACACCAACCAAAATGGTCAGTTTAGTGGTAATCAAAATCAAAATAATTTGCCTGGACAGCAACAAAGTGGCAGGAAAGGCAAAAGCAGAAATAATTGGCAAAATCAATTTGGATTTAGCAATAATCAGCCTAATTTCCAAAATATGGGACCAATTGCACCTCAGCAATATCCTCCATGGTACCTATACCAACAGTACCAAAATATGCAGCAAAATCAACCGATAGTGCAAATCCAACCAGCACAGGTACAGCCAAACGCGAACTACCTGCAACAACAACAACACTTCACTGGAAACCAGACAGCGCAAGCTGAAACTCAATTTCCTGGTGGACCTTTTGCACCAGGGGTTCGACCACCAGCAAAACGCTGCGACATCTGTGGAAAGTTTTATCACACAGCAAGTCAATGGTTTCACAAAGGCGGAGGACTATGGCCCCCATAGAAAACAATTATCTTGACCGCAAGAGGGCTCGAAAATCACAGAAGTTCGAAACATTTCTCAAGTCCGTAAGTATTTATGTGACATCACTTCATGATGTCATTTATTCTAATTAATCATTTGAACCGAATAGATTACATAATTCACCTAGATGATAAAATAGAGCTGCATCATATATTTATTTAACTATGTAAACATTGATGGTAATAAATACCAATCATTGGAATCTTTTATCGAGCTAGAAATCAATTGGAGACAAATCAACTGAATAAAATATTCTAACCATGCTCTTACTTTCGCCGATCGGCTTGCGAGATATCAGAAGCTAGGAATCGGAACCAGCATCCTTTAAAGCAAGATAGGTCTTAACCGCTCGAGACATATCTAAAATAATGAATCCAATCTAAGTACAATTGATAGCCAGTAGCGCTAAATAAAATTACCAATTGAACAGCTCGCATTACACTAAACGACAATATATCCGTATTATCCATCCGCCGGATACGGTATATTATATGGAGACTTTCGCGGGAATTTCTACTTCTGGATACAAAACAGACATCGGCAATTCCAAACATCATAATTCGAGCAGAAAGTGACAACAACTTTGCTGACGCAGAACAGCGAAAAACAGCTTGATCAGCACAGCAATGCTCAGATGTTGGCGGCAGAGCAACATTTATTAAACAACTAACAGATAAAGAAAGGAAAAGAAGACACTCAAAACTTTTCAACATCTCTGGGTTGACAACTTCCTCAATCTACAGAAGCAGATATGTGGATTGTGTCCTACAACTTCTCTACTTTTGGCTCCAGTCAGATGGTATGTCAAGTGAGCTCCTGACAAGGCAGAACAGAAAGTAGATGAAAGGTTTTCAACGCCAAAACAGTTAGTAAAACAGATAAACTCAAAACCCACAATTGCAGTAAATTGATATTGTAACTAATAAGTTCCCCAACCACAAAAAAGTGAAGTAACAGAAATATTAGCAAACCTGATGGCAATAATAACCAAAAACAGAATAGCAAAAGCTGCATAAAGTATAAATAATCCAAAATTGCGAAAGTCTAGCAAAATTTTCTTGTGTTCCCCTTAAATCGACTAAGTGCTGTGCTTTATCATCAACTGTTTCATAAACTTGATATTCTTTCAACTGTAATAAGATGGCACACGCGAAAATTTTGGTCGAACCTTGCGGAGGAACAGAAACCGATGACTTTCAGCAGTTTGAGCAATTGTTCCGAGGATAAATCGGAGTAGCGGGAATCGACCCTGGCCAACAAGCGAACTTCTTACAACTACATCTACGAGAAGCGGCACTACGGTTTTACCAGACGCTGCCAGCAGCAATCAGAGCGAACGTGGAGAACAGCCTCACCGCTCTAAGGGATCACTTTTGCAATCCGCAGCTCCAGGAAGTCCACGTACTGAAGTTAGAACAGCTCCGGTACGACTCCAAAACCGATTCACCCGAGAACTTCTTGGTGAACTTGACGAATAAAGCGCAACGAGCGTATCCAACGCCAGATTTGCCAGCTGTCGACCCAATCGATGTTGCATTAAACGGAGCACCATTAGTAGCAGACACGGCGAGATTTCATCGAGAAACTGCACAAAGACAAGAAAGAATAGATGCAGTAAATGATAATCGTAATGAACAAATTAGACGATTGTTCATAAAAGGAATGCCAAACTGGCTGCGATCAAAATTCATGGAGCAACCACAAGCAACTACTGTCCAAGAATTGTGTAATTTGACAAAGAAGCAAATCATGATTCGAGAAGTATGCCGAAAAGAAGATTACCCGGAAGACGGATTTAATGAAGTAAATGACAGAGTCTCAGAAAATTTAATCAGTGCTCTCACAAAATCGTCCACAAATCAGGAACAAATTGAGAAGCAGATCAACGAGATGAGATCACAAATAGCTGAGCAGTCAAAGAAACAATCGAATCCGCCTTTTCAACAAAACAAGAACAACACCAACCAAAATGGTCAGTTTAGTGGTAATCAAAATCAAAATAATTTGCCTGGACAGCAACAAAGTGGCAGGAAAGGCAAAAGCAGAAATAATTGGCAAAATCAATTTGGATTTAGCAATAATCAGCCTAATTTCCAAAATATGGGACCAATTGCACCTCAGCAATATCCTCCATGGTACCTATACCAACAGTACCAAAATATGCAGCAAAATCAACCGATAGTGCAAATCCAACCAGCACAGGTACAGCCAAACGCGAACTACCTGCAACAACAACAACACTTCACTGGAAACCAGACAGCGCAAGCTGAAACTCAATTTCCTGGTGGACCTTTTGCACCAGGGGTTCGACCACCAGCAAAACGCTGCGACATCTGTGGAAAGTTTTATCACACAGCAAGTCAATGCTGGCGGAGACAAAAACCACAAGGACAAGATGCAACGCTCATGTTTCCAAATGAGTCAAAAAACTAATAAAGCCACCGAGTCAGCCCCCCAAATCATCTCAATCATCTAAATCATCAAAACAATTAATTCAACCCGATGAGATAATCAACCTTTACGCAAGAATTCCAGCGGAAGGAACAGTTTTGACGTACACAAAGTTACGATTCTCATCGGGATTACAAAGAAGAGCCCTGGTTGATACAGGAGCCTGCGCAAATGTCATTTCAAAACAGACATTCGACGACTTAAAAGATGAAAAATCTCTATACCGTCCTCTTAAAATAACTGAATCGAAACTTAAGAGAGTACGAATGACAGGAGGACAAGTCGTGCCAATTGAAACAGAAGTAACAATAGAATTTAGATTGGCAGATATGACATTTGTAGAATATTTTCTCGTTCTACACGCGGCCAACTCAATAGTTCTAGGAAATCCGTTCTATAAAAAACACCACATTCATATCTGTGCCAAGTATAATTTACTTCATTTCCCAGACCCGACTCTGCAAATTAACGAGATAAAACCTCCAAACGAACCTAGAAGAATTAATCGAGTGAAAAAATTCTCTCTCGCTCTAACCAAACGTCAAACAATAGCTCCGCATCAAACAATTCTTGTAGAATGTCATTTAAAGGACGCATGCCAGGACATGGCAAAAACAACCGGAATCGTAATCCCATCGAAAGAATTTGAAGAAAATTGCGAAATTGCATTCACTTCCTCAATTAGTGAAGTTCTGAAAAATAACCTGCTGTACATCACTGCATTTAACATCACTGATCACCACGTGACATTGCCTTTCAAAACTGAAATTGGAAAATTTTCAATTCTGACCCTAAAAGAAGCCGAAAATCTCATACCAATAAATGCAGAAATGCTTGCTTTTGCAAAAATGAATAATCCAGACGATATTGAAATGGGCATTAACGAACTAATTCAGCAAAACTGTGTTAATCAGCAGTCTCAACAGCAACGTCAACCCGAGTATGAAAAGTTTTGGTTTCCTACACCTGAAACATGTCCAAACCCTGAATTACTTCCACAAATTCAACGTGACATTTACGACCAAATTCTTCATTTTCAAGGTCTCGAAAAAATTGAACCGAAAATAAACTTTCAAGATCGATTGACATTCAAGAATTTTAAGTGGGAGAATTCGGTGTTGACACAAAAGCAAAGGTCAAAAGTAGAAGATTTGCTTGTTGAATTTTCGGTTATCTTCGCCAAACATAGATATGATGTTGGTTACAATTCCGATCTCAAAATCAAACTGAAACAGGAACACACACGACCTTTGTACACACAAGGCCCACCTACGCCGATACATTTGCGACAAGAATTGACAGTGAACTTGCCCTAATGCACTATTATGGACTTATAACAACATTGTCACATTCAAAATATAGCAATCCATTGTTTGCACATCGAAAGCCATCTGGTAAATTGCGGATGTTGATTGACCTCAGAAGGATAAATCATTAACTAAAGAATGACTATATCAACAGCAACTTTCCGATCTCAAACATGACCGATGCATCAAACCACTTCGCAGGAAAGAGCTTGTTTACCAAACTTGATTGTTCGCAAGCATACCACTGTGTGCAAATGGCAGATGACCTTTCAGTCCAACTTCTGGCATTTAATTTCGGTTCACGAACTTATGCATACAAATGCCTAGCTCAAGGTCTAAGCAAATCAGTAACGGGTTTCAGTTCATTCATACGTCACTATCTTGATCCATGCTTAGCAGCCGACTTATGTACACAGTTCATGGATGACATAGGAAGCGCAGTGAACAATTTTGATGAACTAATACCGACTCTTTCAAAAATCTTTGAAGGTGTACGGAAGTCAGGATTAAAGTTATCACCGAATAAATGCGAAATAGGAACACAACGAATGAAATTTCTCGGTAATATAATTACACCAGCAGGAATATCACCTGAACAAGAGAAAATTTCGACGTTCCTTAAAAAAATTAAAATGCCGCAAACTGTAAAACAGGTTAAACGACTAATCGGATTTGTTCAATACTTCCGGAATTATATGTCAAGCCTAGGTGAAAAACTGATACCATTTTATCACCTACTCAGAAAAGATATAGCATTTCAAACAAATGAGGAGCATCAGAAAATTCTCGAAGTTCTAAAACATGATCTAATTCAGGCAACGGACATAACACTCCGCTTACCAAAACCAGGATTACAATACGTAATACTCTGTGATGCAAGCTATCATGGAACAGGTTTCGTCCTAATGGTTGAAGACTATGTGAAAACTGACAACAAAGGTGAAATGAAAACATATGCACCAGTGTCATTTGGTTCACGACTCTTCAACACTGCACAACTGAAGTTCTCCATCTACTATAAAGAGTTCTTAGCACTATACTTTGCCCTCGATCATTTTTCTCACTTCATCTGGGGATCATCAAAACCAGTGATAATCTTGACCGACAATCGAAGCTTAACACAACTTTTCCAAGCGAAGACAATACGACCTTCAATTTGGAATTTCTTGGACCGCGTCATGGCATTCAACATCATTATCGCGCATATACCTGGAAAAGCGAATTATGCAGCAGATTTTTTGTCTCGAATGCAAACTGACCCATCAGCTTCGCTGTCACTGAA